GTTCTCCTGATACTTTTCCAGTTTTCGAGATTCTCGATTTTCGCGAATTAAAGATCGAAATTCTCGGAATACCAATTCTTGGAAATTATACACATACACACAAATTTTTAATAATTGAAATACCATTGCCACAGCATATTCCTGAGACTAAATCAAGTAAAAAAAGTCTTGTACTACTTTCCCTTCCGACAAACAGTTATCGAGATATTATAAGCTAAACATATGCATTGAAAAAGTTATCAATTTTCTCTTGAATATCTCAAAAAGTATTAGGCAAATAAAAAATGTTTCAGACAACAGTTGTTCATATTAATTAGTAGAATAAGATAGTATAATAAACAATAGGAAGTTCCATTTTAAAAAATGATGGCGACCTCCATATAACCACAAAAAATTAATTTTTTTCGAAAATTAATTTTACCATTATATAGCCCTTTTAAAACTGTACAACTTTTGTCTGAAACATTTTTCCGTATCTCCCATATTTTTCGAGATATTTCACCGGTCCGGTACTTTTTTCTCACCCTCTATAACCGACACGCTATTCGATAGATTATTCTATTCACATTCGAAAAAGATTTATAGTAGTGCCAGTCGAATATTCCATGAACATAAAATAAATATATAAGAATAACCTATGGAATATTCCAAATATTTTTTAAATATTTATAGGAGTGTCTTGGGCTATCTGGGTACGTTGATACCGTGCTACGCGATAAAACTAAAGGACACAAATATTTACGTTAGACGATAAGAAGCGATATGTCTGTACATTTAGGCACGTAACGTTTCGAGATTGTCCAGTCAGTTCTCTGTTGTCGTCTTAGAAGCACTCGGTGAAATTTAAGAGAATGCTAAAGGCCAAAATTATTGCTGTAGACGTGAAGGATATAAGGTTCCCGACATCGGTAAACCACGATGGAAGCGATGCAATGGTACGCATTATTAGATAATTTGCATAATTACATGCTCGCTGCTAGCGTTATTCTGGCAGCAGCAAGCACATTCACAATATACATATTAATATATGTATATCGTGTATGCGAATGCAATTGCTGATTTACCAATAAAAGGTTGGCGACCGCGTCGTTATCCAAATTATCCAACTTATTAATATAATATATTAATAAAATAAATATCAATGCAACATTTTAAATATTACGTGCTAATCTAATTATTAATTTTCTTAATTAATTGAGCTTATTCACATGTTTAATTTGTATATATAGTCAAGATTACATTTAATACTTTAGTCTTTATTTATGTCAACAGCATACCGATCCCGATTACTCCTGCGTGTACGTAACAATTAGAACAAGCCGTGGGCAGGAAGGGTATGGTCTAACATTTACCTTGGGAAGAGGCACCGAGATCGGTATTGTATATATTAATATATATTATAATGCTCTAAAATTCTAAATACGTATGCGCTATACCAAACAATAATTTTTGTAGTTGCACAAGCATGTAAGTCTCTGGCCACGATAGTGCTATATCGAAGACTCGAATGGATCTACGATGAATTTGGGACATTCTGGAGGCGTTTAACCAGCGACTCGCAACTGAGATGGGTAACGTGTAACGAAGAGTGACATAATAATTAAAATATAACGATCCCTATAGGCCCTATACCCCCTAGGCTATAATTTAGATATATTTTAGGTCGGACCGGAGAAAGGCGTGATACATCTGGCTACAGCAGCTATTATAAACGCACTGTGGGACTTGTGGGCCCGTATCGAGGGCAAGCCCGTCTGGCAGCTCCTTTCGGACATGAAGCCCGAGCAGCTCGTTTCCGTCATAGATTTCAGATACATGTAAGTCGAAGCTCGTTTGTAAGCCAAAGCGCGGAGCTACATTCACGCTCACGACGGAATTCTATGTGTGCAGTCAAGACATAGTGACCGAGGCAACCGCGATACAGATACTCGAGGAGAAAATGGCATTTAGAGATGAGCAAAAAAGAAAACTGCTGGAGAATGGATATCCCGCGTACAACACCCAGGTCGGGTGGCTGGGCTACAGCGACGAGCAGCTCAAGGATCTCTGCAAAAAGTTCCTGGGCCTTGGTTACACGGCGTTCAAAATTAAAGTTGGCCGGAATCTGGAAGACGATATCAGGAGATGCAAGGTGATACGCAAGGTGATAGGCTACACGAACAAGTTGATGCTGGACGCGAACCAGGTGTGGGACGTCAACGATGCGATCGAGTGGATGAAGCAGCTGGCGACGTTCAAGCCCATTTGGATAGAGGAGCCGACGTCCCCCGACGATGTCTTTGGGCACGCGCAGATACTCAACGCACTGCAGCCGTACGGTATCGGAGTGGCCTCCGGCGAAATGTGCGCGAATCGCGTTATGTTCAAGCAGTTCCTGAGGTACCACGCGATCAACTACTGTCAGGTAGATTCGGCGAGGATCGGCGGGATTAACGAGATCCTGGCTGTGTACTTCATGGCGTACTTAACTAAAAGTAAGTTTACCATCAATAATTTCAGTCTGCGCACTTGATCTATTTTCAATATTTCAAGGGACAATTTCCTTGACGATTCTATGATGAATTTCTACGTAAAAGAAAATATGAGATGGAAAATTTGTTTATAGTACCAGTTTGTCCGCATGCCGGTGGGATAGGTTTGTGCGAGATGGTACAGCACCTTCAGATGTGGGACTATATTTGTCTAAGTCAGACTTCCGAAGATCGCATGATAGAATTCGTCGACCAACAGCACGAGCACTTCGAGGATCCAGTTTGCATTAAGAATGCGTGCTACATGCCGACCATGAAGCCTGGATACTCGACTAAACTTAAGGAAAAGAGTATCGCACAGTACGCCTATCCGGATGGTGATCAATGGAAGATTACCGAAATAAACAAAGATGAGGAAGGGGACGATTAGAGATTCTTATCAAAAATTTATATGTACCTATAATTCTTTCATAAAAACAATCTACATAAAACTATATATATAAATCTTTTAAAAATATAATGAATAAGTACTATAACAGATATAATAAATACCACAACAGATATTACAACGCGTTTAATATAGTTCTAAAAATAAAATTGTAAAGCTATCTTGTACTAAATTTTTTTAATCCGCAACCGCATCAGATGTTCCACTGGTAGGTCGCACGGGACTTTTATCGCGCTGTCAGGAAGACAGATAATAAGTAAAATCACAATGATGGTCTACAACTTAGAATCTTCCAGTCGAGACTTTACGTAGTCTGCCTGTTAAAGAATAGCGACAATATGTATAATGCGGGAACTTATCTTTTGCAGTATTTACACAGTACGCTCTGTAATCTCTATACTTACGCTGACAAACCAAAACGTATTGGGATTGAACATCACTTTTCTTATGGCGTTCATTTTCTCTACTGGCGAAATGACATGTAGATGTAAATGATCGACGGTATTGAAAGGCGGCCAGTGGAACCCTGTTCGCGTCGAGGCGGGATCAAGATTCATCTTCTCGGAGATGATGTCTACCGCAGCGACGATCTTGTCGACTGAAACATTCAGACGTGATTAAACGATGATTGAAAGAACAATAATCAATTGTCAGACTACAAACATACAGGAAAGTCCTCTATTATGAGATAAGCTCACAAGGTAGCGGGGTTTGTGCTAAATTAATAGCCATCTCTGTTGGTACCGCCATGAATTTATTGCCCATGGAGCAATCTGTTTGGTGGAAAATTCATCGTTAGATCGTCGCGAAAAAGATTTCCGATTCAATTTGGATGTCGATAACTCACTCACATTAGAAGCCTATCTCATGATAGGGGAACTTCCTTCTATATAATTTTTATAGAGCACAAGAAAGAAAAGCTTTCAGACACATTTTCAGGAGCACGTATAGAACAATTTCTCAAACATTTTGCTAATCGACGACGACATAAATAAATATTGTAGACTTGTGTGATAATTTAGTAAAACGTCGATAAAGGTAAGTCCGTGACACTCACAAAGTTCCGAGTCTTCAGGCTGAAGTGTTTTCGCATTACGTATATGCTTATTCGGCAATATCAAGTAATGATGCGTGGACACTGGATTGATATCCTTAATGCACGTAACGTCCTCATCCTGGCAACAAAAACACACATTTAACGTTATACACACTTGCTCGATCGTGAGCGCGAATTTATAATGCACGTATACATTTTTTATCTAGCTGTCAAAAATCCTTTTGAGGTTAACCTACCGTACCTCGTAAATCTTTTCACCGGGTTCCTCGTTCCTGATAATTTTACAGAAGGTACAGGTCGCCAGCTGATGAGCCATTGATCCGCGCTAATTTCGATGATATCTAACGACAGCTTATCCCGAAAGTCTGATTGCAAGCGACTGGAGTCTGGAGACTCCGGAGTACTTACAAGTCATAGACTGAGGTGACTGGACATTGTGCACGCATCGTGTATTAATGCGAGCAACTCACGGGCAAGTGTACAACAAAAAAAAACTTCCGAAATGCGCGTTTTAGATTTGCAAACTAGTTAAATAACAAACCACAAGTCAAATTATGCATGTCGATATTAAAATATACATTTAGGAACAATGAAAAGTGTGAAGATTATACTTGCTTCCTTTAAAATGCATTTAAATTATAATAATGCGCAAAATGTTACAGAAACTTGGAATGTTACATAAATTTTAGTTACACAAGATCCCTCGAAAAACCCCCAGTGAAAATTATTTTCTCGAAAGTTTTCGTATTATTTCTTATAATTTAATTCTGTGTTTTATAATTTTTTAAATTCTTTATGCAAATTGGCACACTTTTCAGAAGTGCCGAGAGAGTTTATATCTTTCCCAGAATTTTTCACACGTTTGAATTCCGAAATATTTTAAAATTTCTTATTGTATAATTTCAAACGTAATCTTATATGTATAAGATTTGAAGATTAAGTTTAATATTTTTTTCAGAAATTATAGAATCTTAGAAATAGAATATTTCGGAATATTTACACGTATGAAAAAAGAATCTAATTGTAAGACAAGTAGACTTTCTCAGTATTTCTGAAAAAAATGTACCAATTCGTAGAAAAATTAAGAGAAAAACTTTCCAGGGATAAGACTCATAAATCGCAAAGTATTCTTCCTCCTAGTTCGTATACAGAGTGTCCAAAAAGCCCGGCAACGGCTAAATATCTTGCAAATAAAGCATTTTAGAGAAAAATGTTTTAGACAAAAGTATAATGGTTTAAAAAGGCGCATTTAGTGAATGTATGAGTTTTACCTCGCGTGGCGTTGCTAAGATCAGGCCAAGTCATCTTGAATTTTTTAAATGGACTACTCGAGTAGAATACGACAGTATAATAAACAATAGGGGGCTCCATTTAAAAAATTCAACGCCACGCAAGGTCAAACTCATACGTTCACTAAATGCGCCTTTTCAAGCCTTTTGCCTAAAACATTTTTCTCTAAAATGCTTTATTCTCGAGATATTTAGCCGTTGCCGGACTTCTTGGACACCCTGTATGTATACACAAACACAAATATTTGCTTCGATTATTATGAAGAAAACCTAAGGTGGTATTTGCTGTGTCAAATATGTATATTTTAAGGAAGGTAAAGACGTTTGACGTTATTTAGAATCACGTTATTGTTACATCGTCAGTTTTGCATTTCGCGTCGCTGAGCGATACAGAAAAATGGTAAACGCGAAGATCGTCGACATCCAAGTGCACGATGTAAGATTCCCGACGTCAATGTGGCGTGCCGGGGCCGATTCACTGGTAAGTCTGGTCACTTAATTTTCCAACGTTATTAAAACGACCTCGTCCGCCTTCCGGATTACATTCGACGTGATCGACTTTCCATTTGTAACAGCACCCAAATCCGAATCACTCGTGCACGTACGTAATACTCTGCACCGACAAGGGCCACAAGGGGTACGGCATCGCGGCCACTCTGGGAAGAGGAAATGAGTTCGGTACGTATCGCGCCAACATTCCCGCTCCCCACTCGTTTACGTTGTCGATAATAAATTTTGCAGTGGTGCAAACGTGCACGTTGATGTTCGAGCACGTGAAGAATCGAACGACCACGGAGATCTTCTCAAACTTCGCGTCATTTTGGAGACGGTTAACGACCGATGCGGAACTTCGATGGGTAACGAGGGTGACGTGCGGCTGTCAGTTATAGAGAAAAGTCCTCTATGAGATAGGCTCCTAATACGAGACAGCGGAGTTTCTGCCAAATTGTTAGGCATCCTCTGTTGCTTCCATCATGAACTTATTGCCTTGGGGTGAAATCTGTTTGGTGAAAGATTCGTTGTTAGATCGCGTAATCGTAGAGAAAGATTTGCGATCGAATTTGGACGTTGAAAATCTGCTATCTCGTATTAGAAGCTTATCTCGTAATAGAGGACTTTCCTCTGCTAATTAAAATGTTGCGATTCGGGGTGTAATTTCGTTGTTTTAGCTGGGGCCGGAATGCGGCGTGGTGCACCTAGCTACAGCAGCTATCGTGAACGCATTGTGGGACCTGTGGGCGCGTATCGAGGGTAAGCCCGTCTGGCAGCTGCTCACAGACATGACGCCCGAACAGCTCGTCTCCACGGTGGACTTCAGATACATGTGAGCCAGATTTTTTTCAGGCGCTACGTCTGTGCCTCGAGTGAACTTCGACAAAATGGGAAAACATATTTACATTTGCAGTAGGGACGTGGTGACCGAGGAGGAGGCGATGGAAATGCTCAGGAACGAGCAGCCGCGTAAAGAGGAAAAGAAGAAGAAGCTGCAGAGCGACGGGTATCCGGCGTATACGGCTGACATCGTATCGTCGGCTTTCAGCAGTCGACAAGTCAAAAGTGCCTGCAAGAAATTCAAGAAACTCGACTTTAACGACTACAAGGCGCCCGTGGGTCGCACGATCGCAAAGACCGCGCGGACGTGCAAACTGATACGCAGCGTGTTGGGCGGTAAAAAGACACTGCTAGTGGATGCGAATCAATGCTGGGATCAGACCGAGGTGATTGCTGTTATGAAATATGTCAACGAGAAACGTCACACTTGCACAGCTATAGAAGAGCCGACATGCTGCGATGATACCCTAGGATATGTTCAGATACGAGATCACTTAGAGAAATCTCGTTATCCGGTACAAGTGAGCTGCGGACAAACGTGCGCAAACCGCGTCGTATTCAAACAATTCTTAAAAATTGGCGGGATCGACTTCTGGAATATTAACGTGGGGAGGCTCGGCGGAGTTAACGAAGCCCTGGCTGTGTACTTCATGGCGAAGAAGCATCGCAGTAAGTTCGCGGTCGATGACAATCATATATTTTTGTTGGATTTTAATATTTCAGAGAGTGATTTTCTTGTCGATTTTTGCTTAACCAAACGTAACGCAAATTTCTCTTACTTATAGTACCGGTGTGGGGTCACACTGGTGGAGTGGGCTTGGGCGAGATGATTCAACATCTTCAAATGTGGAACGCTATTTGCTTGAGTTCATCGGATATTGATAAGATTGAATATACCAGTCATCAGCATGGATACTTCGAAGATCCCGTATTCGTTAGAAACGCTTCTTTTCTGCTGCCTAACCGTCCTGGATTTTCTACTAAGCTTAAGGACAAGTGTATCGTGCGGTGGTCTTATCCCGAAGGTACACGATGGAAACATTTATATAAAATAAAGCGCTTCAAGAACGAACTTAGATATCAAGACAAATGAAAATACTTTTCTTACCCATATCTATAGCTAGATATGGAATTCTTTGATAAAAATATCATATGTATATACGTAAAACGAGTGCATCTTTTCTGATTAAAATATTGTAAAATGTATTCACTTTGAAATATACTTAATATTAAAAAATGTAATTTTTGTGTAATAAACATTTAATCTTTCGCAGGCTGTGAAATGTGTTTATTCTCACACTGTTGCATGAAATCTTTAAGTGCTGAACTACTTAATGTGAAAAATTAAAAAAAGAGAAAGAATATTAGAGACATATATAAATCGAACGCTTCTTTGATTGCATTACTTTTTAATTTAAAATATATATAAACTGTACATATATATATTTATTTATTTATAAGTAGCATATATCTATATGTATATTTTTATGCAATATAATTGATGTGAGCATGATAAATTAATAATGTGTGTAACGTATTTATACGAGTGGCAGTTGAGCTGAGAGGGAATCTTAAATTTTCCTAAGAAACTGTTAAAAGCCGTATCTACCTATTCCGTAAATATTTACCATCTCATCTTTCGTGGAAAACTTATCCTTGTTTTAAATCCCTCTTTTCGTTAATAGAACAAATAAAATAAAGAAATCGACACAAATATCGACAGAAATAACACAAAAATTAATAAAGACCTAATCATTATCAGTCCGTTATATGGAATATGTTTTAAATTATTTACGCACAAATTCTCGTAAAACCCTTTGTATCGCAACACTACAATAGCCGTTCTGTAAGCAGACACGAATTGTTTCAGTTTTAGAGTATCGACTTAGGCCGGTATTTATAGTCAAATCTTATTTAAGAACGTCGTCATATCATCCTTAGACGGCCACTCCATGGCCAATGAAATGTTCAATACAGTATCTTTAGATAAATTCAAGACGGTCTTGAATATAACATCTGACTATGAATAATTGGCCTTAGTCAACTTTACCTGACCCAAAACAATAAAATGCGTTTGTTGATTTTGCCCAAAATAAAACGCGGGGACAACGCGTCAAAAGAAAATCATTCGTGGATCCTGAAAATTTTGTCCTTAACATCATTTCGTTTCAACCATTCGTATTATAACAAATGTCTCTCCTCATTACGTATTCAAATTTTGTGGATAGCACTAAATTATATATACGCTCTCTCTCCCCTATCGATACATGCTCACGAATGTATCCTTGTTATGTGAAATTATCATGCAACAAACACTCTTCATTTCCAGGATTTATTACGTCAATTTTAATGTGTTATTTGACGATAATATAAATCGTGAAACTTAAAAACGCGTTAATCTTTGAAAGGTACCTTCAGGAAATTATTGTTACAACAGAATCTCTTACTGTCGATTGTAATAACGAATAGCGTTACTTTCTTCGCACGTTTCCGCATAACAGGATACTGTCGCCCTGTTGTTCGTAATATCTATCCTCACCTTCGTAATGACTTACAGGCTAAAAGTAGTTTTCGTTGGGGCACCCCCCGGTCTCTGTACAGTGTGCTCTTTTTATAAATAATTCTTATAAATTAGTATAATCTACGTTTCTTATTCCGACATAAAAATCATACAATGTACATAATGTTTGCTTACGGCGATCCACTTTTAATACTGCGGGTAAATCTGCGTCCTATCGTAGGTGTGTCCTTTTGTAATGACATTCTCTCTCCCTCTCTTTCCGATCGGTATCTAAATCTTTCAGAATGCCGCCCGCGCGTGTTTGCTTAAAGAGTTGTTTGAGGAGCTGCCGCGAATCGAAAAGTTCGGAGCTTAAGCTAACTTAATACTCTAGTAAAGAGGTAAGTTTCAGCTGCCCGGATAAGGCATTTGATCTGGAAGGGCGGACGAGTGATTCTGGTTGGGGCTCTGATGGAAATGTGGACTGGTGCCGTCCTGCGAGATGTCGCCGACGACGGGCTCCTCGTATTTGCCTCTCTTGAAGCGCCCGTACAGTGACGAGTACGGCAGATTGTAGTGGATCGCCGCTTGATTTATGCTCATGTGCCCTAATCTGCAACAGCAAATTCAGAAGAAAGGTCATTACTTATTTTGAATTGGAAACTTGTATTAGCCATAAAGGATTCATCTATTGTATTTAATAAAATTGCAACCTTTCAACGGAACTGTAATCTTTTTAAATTTTCAAGATATGTGCATACAATAGTAAGTAAAGTACACAAAATAAAATGAATTTAATCCATTTAAGTTATTAAACTTATTTTCGAATCGAATCGTTCAAGTATATCGATCTATTAGTGCATCGATTTTACTAAATACATGAAGACGAGTCATTTATTGATACCTGACGGCCTCGAGAGCTTCAGTCATAGCGTCCTCGCTCCACGGCGTGGGATTGCTCCTGCTAAGCTCGATTCCTTCCCGCTTGCATCTTCCGTACAAAGTCCCCGTAGGTATACCGAATTCCGTCGACGCTCTCTGCACGGAGGTCTGACCAGACCTTATTGCTTCTAGGGCGCGATCCAAATCAGCGGGCGTCCACGTAGTGGGACTCGCGTTGAACGGCGCGGCCAGTCTGATACCTTCTCTCCTGGCGATCTTGTACAATGTACTGGAAGGTATGCCGTACGCTTTGGACGCCTTGTTAGCCGAAATGGAGCCGGTGCGCAGAGCTTCTAAAGCGTTGTTCAAGCTCTCGTCGCTCCAGGACTTCGTGGGGCCGTCTTTCTTCGGCGTGTCGATGCCCAATCGATGTGCCCGTTGCCACAGAGTCGTCGAGGGAATACCGAATGTTGCTGAACGTTCACAAATTTGCTCATTTAATTTACTTCGTACGTGATATCATTAACATTGTGAACTACACTATTTCTTAATTGAATTTATTCTGTTCTTAGTTTGCCTGATTTTACACGAATCATTATAAAAATAATTACATATTAAATCAGAATTTCAAATTCTACATAATATAGAAGAAAAATCAACGAGCTACCAATTGAGTAAGATGTCTGCTAATTCCTTGGATTTCAAATTATTGACGATGGACATTCCTCTTACCTGAAGCTTTCGTCAGGCTCATGTTGTGATTTCTTAGCGCCTCCAAAGCCGCGTCCATGTCCTCTTGCGTCCAAGACTTGGAGCCGTGATGATGCGAGCTGGACTGTCCGCTGTGCCCCCTCGAATTGTTCTCGCCCGAGTCCGACTGGCCGGAGCTTCCCGACGGCATCAGCCCTAGCAGCTCCGGTGTTATCATCATCATGTTGTCGCTGTCGGCGGCGTTCTTCGAGCTCACACTCGCCCGATCCGACATGTGACTGTCTATGTCGATCGTGTCTGAGGAGTCCATCGTGTGCAGCGTCTCGAACTTGATCTTGACGCTGTCGCAATTCTGAATCTCTGCGAACAGATCGCGGGAAACGGGCATGACACGCCGCTGCTGTTGGCGCTCCGCACCGGGGAAACTCGACATAACTTTCGCGACGGTATATATCTTCGCCGGGGGACTCGCGGAAGTTACTCGGTGGTACCTGAGGATCGATAAGCGAGCGCTGTCGAAGGCGAAACTGGACGCGGAAGGACGCTAAATGAGGCTGCGTGGGCTGCTGCTGCGGGCCGAGCAACGCAAATCTAATCGCGACCAGTTAAGGGTGATTAGGCCAATTATTTTGATTCCCTGTCCGCCTAATGACCGGCTGCACTTTCAGCCCGGTAGTGTTTTACCCCACGTCGTGCCCTCACGTCCGACGGACAAATGGAAACGCACGACGTTGAATGAACCGAGTAAACGAGGAGACTTCCATCACGCGATGAGCGAAACGAGACACGATCATCACCCATGCTATGGGAATTGGATATATTTGCTTTATCGAGCCGCGGGACCCGCCAAAGTTCTAAATTGCGCGGAGTACGAAAGAACATGCGAACAAGTATCTTTAGCTTGACAGACTTAAGCGTCATAGATCTATCGATGTGGTAAGGCTGACATAATTAAATTATCTTGTAATCCAATCGCTCTTCTCCGACCAATTTTTCGAAGACGTTACACACATGCTTATCACCACGAGTGGAAATTGTGTCTTCACTGCATTTACGCTCTCAAAAAGGGGGGACCTCTACAGTTCTTAAAATATGCATATCGTTCTCCCTTTATTACCCTCCTATAACGAAGAAGCGAGACGTGTGCGTCCCGCTACATCTTTTCGCAATTAAGTCCGCCGGGACCCTGTCCCAGTTTCATCTCGTGCAGTTTATTAAGTAAAAATTGGCCGAGAGAAAAAGGAGTTAATTCGGATGGGATTAAAGGCGATCGTCTCGCTTCGTTTTACGCTCGTGTACAATCGCCACGATCGTCGTCGAGAAGCGCTGCTCTGGCAAGGGAAACGGCGCTCAAGAAACGTAAAGTTTTATACCTGTAGAATGATGATCCGGATCCCTCAGGTGGGTGATGGTGGTGCCGACTAGGGTGGCGCTGGGTGGGGTGGGTTGGGTCTCGGGGGGCAAATCGACCTCTCCGGGATCCGGATGGTGGCCGTAGTGCCCTAGCCCTGTGTGACAGAACATGTCACCTTTTTATTCGACGTGAAAAGGGTCCGTCCGGATCGATCCTGAAAACGGTGAACTGCCCCACACCCGGAAGCTCCCGGAATAATCGCGACGCAAGCGTCTCGTTTTTCTTCCAAATCCGATCGACGCGTTATTCGTTCGCGGCGAAACGCAAAAGTGCACGAGGACGCGGTGAACAAGCGCGGGCAATGTATAATAAAAATAATATATTGCTTCGAAACGATATCAATAAGATTAGAAATGAAAATTCGAGCGCGGCGCGCGATTTTCATGAAAATAACGCAATCGATCTACAAATATTGGCGAGAATTAGAATGAAAAGAAAAATAAAATATGGGGTCCAGGTGTGGGGCAAAAACCGCAGTTGAGCCACTTACCGTTGTTACTCGTGCCGTTACCGTTGTTATTGTTGTTGTTGTTATTATTACGTTGGCAAGTTTCCAGTGCTACTGCTGCTGTTGCTGTCTCCGTGCACTCTTCATCTTCAGCCTGCCAGTCCCGATGGTTCTGCGGAATATCCGGTACAAATTTAGCGTCGACCCTGACGAGATCGAACCGCCCGCCGACGCGGGACAGCCGTTGCTTTTGTGCGATTTCCTCGCTTCGTCATTTTCAACGCGTTACAAGCGATCAATTCGCCGCTATCGTTAAATTCGGATAAACCACCTACGCTGCGAGGACTTTCTCATAATATAAATTAATTGCGGCAAGCACATAATTTATGTTAATACAATATTTTCATTCAATTTGTCATGAGTTTCTATCAAGAATTCAATATTAAACGACGTATCACGTTACGTTAATATAAACTGATCTAATGAATAACCTTTAACTGTTGTTGTGTAAATAAATTAATGAAATTTTCTAAAAATCTTAGAGCTACACATTATATTATAAATATATAGTCAAGTAATTGATTTGTATGTAAAAGAATCTCCTGAAAATTTTAGAACTACATAGAATAGAGCGGGGCTGTTTTGCTCAGTTGAAGACACATTAGGGTAAAAAATTTTCAAGACAAAAGCCAAAGAGTCTCTCCCTATTTAAAAACTTGAGCTTCTCCATTTGAAAATTTCTCATACGAATTTTTCTTCAACCGAGCGAGACAACTCCGATCTACTCCATCATATTATAAATAATTATAAAGGCGAATAATTCTTTTCGCTCATACAATATTCATTAGAGTCTTCGCAATGCCGCGGTGATCACGAAAAGCTGATTGTTAGCTGCATCTCTCGCGTCGGCCGAGTTTACCTCTTTGTTATCGCGGCTGTAATCGTTGTTGGCCTCCTCCTCTTTGTAGCGATCGTAATGTCTCGGATCGGTGGCGCGCTGCTCGAACGTGGGCCGCTCGATTCTGGGTCTCTTGTACCGCTGATGGTGCTTCTTCAGCTTCGTGTAGTTCAACCTCGGGGTGCTGGACTCCCTCGGTGGCGAGCTTAGGCTCACGGGTGGCGGACCGTCTCTGTTCTCCGGCACCTCGCACAGGCCCTTGATCTTCAGCTGGTCGGCCGTCTTCAAGAGCGACTGCGAAAGAAACGGGAAACATTGTAAGTCACCGAAAGCTCGACGTGAAACTTGCAAAGTAGCGAGTCGCGACATTCGCGACGCCACCTATTTGACCAAGAACACGCGCATTTGGTGGAGACACGTGATTCTTAAGCTCTCAGGCACGTTTCTCGTTCATCAAAATGCGACTGACACTGTGGTTTTTGTATAATTAACTTGATTCTATTTATGTACAAGTTAATGCAGTTACGAATGACAAAGTTTCGACTAGTCAAGATGCGTACTCGCTACCAATTTCCGACTTTCTGCCCGGATTGTTCATTACTTTGAAAAGTTACAGTTCACGGTACTATAATCGGACCGATTCCCTTGTCGCATAATCATCGAAGATAACCCGACTAACAATAAGTACGTTCGCAGACTCAAGACTGCGATTTTCCGTGCAATACGCAATATTAAATATTTTAATAACGTCAATGTTTCTCTCGACCATACCTGGTATCTTCAATAATACAGAAAATTTATTGCGAAAAATATTAGCTCAACCAGGGTTTGAACCTGGACCTACCCTCTAGGCGGGCGTCTCACCAATTCCACCACCGAGGCATATGATAATATTTGTCGCAATAACAGTATAAAGACGTTGTCTACGTATATTTTCGACTTTTGCGAACTGCGCGCCGATAAGGGTTGTCGAATACGCGATTTTTAAGGTTTCCCTCCCCCTTTTCCCAATTGCATGGCAAACACCATATTTGAGGTCAATGGTGAGCAATCAACTAATCAGAATTCTTCAATGTCGCCAGCGGTAGTTAACAACGTCAGTGTCTTCTTGACCATACCTGGCATCTTTAACGGTACAGAAAATTTATTGCGAGAAATAGAGTTAATATTTTTCGCACTAAATTTTCTGTACTTTTAAAGATGCCAGGTATGGTCGAGAAAACACCGACGTTGTTAATTACCGCTGGCGACATCGAAGAATTCTGATCAGTTAAATATTTTAACGTTTTAATAAATTCCCAACATACGTTCATTGCCTGAGTTTTTGTATCAGACACCGGTCGGGTCCCCGGGATTGACGTTTGCAACCCAGCGCGTCCAGCGCGTGTGGAGGAAGCGCCACACGGTCACCGCGAGCGAGCAATTAATTTGTTAATTAGCGGGATCGTATAACCGGGGTCGGCCGCGCGCGGAAACGCGCGCGGAAAACGCGGCGTTCGGGAATCAAGGCGCGGAATAGAAAAATACTCATTTCGGTAAACCGCTTTGCGAGAGGCGGACGAAAGGACCGCGCGGGTCCGGTCCGATTGGATTTGCATATTTCTCGCGCGAGAGCTCGTCGTCCCGGCATCTCGTTCCGCCCGGCGGCGGTGCAATTTCATCTCGGCGACGGGCGTCGACGGCGGTGGAGGTGGCGGCGATGGCGGCGGCGGCGGCGGCAGCGGCGGCGGCGGCGGCGGCGGCGGCGACGCCACCTCCACCGCCGTCGACGTCGAGCACCGTCCGTCCACCCACCAAACGTCGTCCCTGAAAATCAGCGCCGGCGATCCCCCGGTTTCGGCGAGCGTCGCAACGACGGCAATCCGCGCTGGGACGCGCCTCGTCCACGTCCCCGGCCTCTCAACGACGAGATTCGAGCCTCGGAGAGCTGTTGCTGGGGGGGGGGGGGGGGGGGGTCGACGCTTGTCTTCGCCTTCAGCTTTTACGAGCTATGCGAACTACTTGGATACGGGAGAGACAAGTATTCTCGTATCAGGTTCAGGACCGGGAATTTCAAGCTGAACAGACACGTTCGATCGGGTGTTATCGAAACTGTAATACGGAGAATAATAATTTGTTTCGCAGATGTACTATGAATAATACATGAATAAACGGAGACTCGGGTCTCGCGAGACTCAGATTAATTTTTTAATTCCGAGGCCACGCGACTTCCCTGTGACACAAGTTTAAATGTATAATTACGAACAGAGCTTTTAACAGGGCATTACTTTATGAAGGGCAAGGAATGAATCAGATGCTGATTATAAAACTGTTTCGAAAGGAGATACATTTAAATGTATGCGTCTCGAACAAGTATAATGCAGGACGCATAAAGTAACCGGTGGAGGAGCGTTACGGGTCCGCGATACACGTCCTCGCGAAGTAACCTTGAAATCTCGGCGCGAAGTAGAAGGGGAGGGAAGTTTAAGAGACGAATGAACGGCGAAGCGAGGAGGAAGTGAGGTCACGAGGAGGAGGAAGATGATGGACGCCACCTCCGCGTGGCGTAACCGTCAAGTCGCGTGGCTTCACCGGGACGTTAAGGACGTCCACGTGGCCGACTTGTACAAAGGACCTTGCACGGAAGAATCCTACGGACGATGACCAAGAGAAGAAGAACGATGACGCGGACGAAGCAAGAAACGAGAGAGTGACATGGCGAGGGGGGGAGAAACAGAGAGAGAGAGAGAGAGAGAGAGACGGGGGGGGGGACCTAA